GACACTCCTTGGTACTGAGCAGATAATCGTACACTATTTCAATGTGTAAGCATGTTGGTTATTTATTTTACATGAACAGTCAAAGCCGAGTTTCATCGACATGTTCCTTCAGCATTCAACATGTTCCTCCCCTTGCGTAATCTTTTAAGTTAGCTGGCTGTGAACTAAAATTCCCAGCGAGGTCTGTGTCCTCTGTGTCCTGTATCTGAAATCGAGCGAGGATTGGCTGGGTCGTCATGGAATTTTGTGGGAAGAGAGCTTATGTGGCTTCTACATTGCTCAGAGCTATTTTCATGATTCCCAGTGCTGCTAATTAGGTCTACTAGCAGTCATAATTCATTGTTGTTGTTTTTGTTAATCCTCACCCAAGGATATTTTTTCCATTGATTTTCAGAGAGAGTGGAAGGTGGAAGGAGAGAAACATTGGTGGGAGAGAAACACATCGATTGGTTGCCATCTGCATGTGTCCAACCAGGGCCAGGGATCCAGCCTGCCACCTAGGTACCTGAATCAAACTCAGAACCCTTTAGTCCACAGGTTGATGCTCTATGCACTGAGCCAGATCAGCTAGCGCTGATAGTTTATGTGATATTCTGGGAAAGAGGAATTAAATACTTGACATCATTGTGATTAAAGCCATGAATGATGGGAGAAGTGGCTCCTGCTCAGTGGTATGAAATAGGAGTTGTACTTTTTAAAATTTTTATATGTTTTTATTGATTTCAGAGAAAGGAAGGGAGAGAGAGATAGAAACATCAATGATGGGAAAGAATCATTGATCAGCTGCCTCCTGCCCGCTCCACACTGGGGATCAAGCTTGCAACCCAGGCATGTGCCCTGACCTGGATTGAACTGTAACCCCCTGGCTCATGGATCACCACTCAACCACTGAGCCACACCAGTGGGTGGGGGCTAAGGTGTACTTCTTAAGGGCAGCGGTGAGAAGGGCACACCCTTCCACTCTCCCATCCATGCCTGTCCTTCCTGTGAGGATAGTGCTGCTCCTCTCTACTGGCCTCTCCTGCTGACCTCCTTGCCTGCCCCACAGTCACAACTGAGGGTATGTCAAAAGCATCTCCCCGATGAGGAAAGGGCAGATTCTGTGAAGGGAACTTGGAGAAGGAATAAGAATAAGGATCAGGGAGTGGGAGGAAGACAGAGACGCTCAGGAGCAGGAGAAATTTACTTGGTACATACTTGGCCTTACTAAACTTCTTGCAGTATTTTAAAGTGGAAATAATCACATTTTTTTTCTATTCTTCAAGGGAGAATATCTGCGAAATGCTTAGTGTCAACAGTTGTGGCAAGGAGTTTTTTTTAAGTTCATGGTCTTCAGTGAGTAATAGAAACTTTATTAGATGATATTAATAGCCTCTTAATAGCATCCAATAGGAGCAAATGTTTGTAGGCCCAGCAGAAACTCTCACTAAACTTCTGTTTTCTTTCAAAAATCTGCATGCTATATGAAAACATATATGCTAATGCAAAAAAAAAAACCTCCTCTTGCCTGGACTTTGTCTAGTTACTGGATGACTTTCAAAATGGCTCATTATTTGTTGACTGTACATATTGCTTATTACCAAAAGGACGGTGTAGAATAAGCCATCACTTGAATTTTCTGTGTAATCTACACTCATGTTGTAGCAACTGTCATCCTTTCTCTTTAAAAAAATATTAAATGAATTTTTATTTAGATGTGTTAATTGTTCCAAAATGCTGAAATACAAATGAGTAAAAAATGATCCTATATAATAAAAGGGCGGTATGCAAATTGTTCCCTTGACCAGGAGTTCTACCAGGGGGCAGGGCCAGCCAGGGGAAGGGAGGGAGTATCCGGCCAGCAGCTGCTAGGGACCGTACCAGTGCACAAACTTCATGCACTGGGCCTCCAATAGAATATAAAAATATATCTGGAAAACAATCTGCCATTCAGAGACAACTCTTATATTGATTAACTTACATGTTTTGTGTGTGTGCCTTACAGGGGATCTGGCCTCTGGGAAGGTGTCTGGACTCAAGGACCATGTCCTGCCCACCAGTCCCCCAGAGCCCCACCTACTACGAACATTAAGACGAAAGCCTTTCCTGGCCCTGTCCTGCTGCACTTTCTGCCTTGTGTTCCACTCTACCACCTTCAGGTGTGTACTTCTGGCATCTCGCTTCTGATCCTGGGGCTGTTGGTGAGAGTCGAGGCTGTTGTAGGAGCCTCCATTAGCCCCTCCTTGCCCTGTTCCACGCCCGCAGGCCTGTGGAGCAGCATGAGCAGTTCTGTGGTTCTGTAGCACACTTAGAAAATACTACAAAGGCTCCAGAAGGCTTGGACCCCCTCTCTAGCTTTCTACGCTTGTTCCCTGGGCCTGGGGGATTTTAATAATTTGTAAGCTGTCCATTACTGAAATTGTAGAATAATTTTAAAATAATGTTCTGCTACAGGCAAAGGATTTCTTGAATATTAACTTTCAATAACTTTTCACTTCTACCTCTTTTATACTTGAGCCTTTTTAATAGCTACTGCATCTTTTTTTCATTGAGTTTAGTTCTCCTTAAATCACATGAATTCATGGTGATTGTTTAGAGAGAAATATATGTCTGCAGAGAGAGACTCTGCCTGGCTCAACATGATGACTGTTTTCCACAGTACATTTGGAACATGTGTGGGAGCTGGCGGAGGTTCCCCACAATCTAAGAAAGTTCATGGCTTCTACATGGTTCATAGTTCTCATCCACACAGTACCTTTTTTGATGCTGCCACTTGGAGGCAAACAGCACAACGACTCCTAGGTGCATTCCTCCCATACACAGGGATGTCCTGTTTCACATGCACAGGGCTTCCCCAGATAGCCCTATATTTTATTAGAAGAAAAATTCTAAAGATGAAAAAAGATTTTACATTTAAACCTAAATTTGCCTTGAAATCAAAACCCAACATAATCCCATGGCCAATGCCTTGTTAGTTTTCCTAACTCTTCCTTCCCTCTCCTGGGATTACCCATATTCTCTGGGTAACCCCCATCGGTAAACTGTACTGTGGAGCATCTTGGGTGGTGAACTATCCTGGGGAGTGGCTACCTTTTCCCAGTTACCAGATCCTTGCATTAATCTGGTGTTTCTCTTCCAGATCTGATCAAAAGGCCTGTCCTCCCTGTTGAGTGACTCAGAGGAAAATAAGAAAAAATAGTGTCCAGTATCCAGACATTTAAACAACTCTTCCGTGCCTCAGGCCTCTTCACTCACCCGGGAAGTCCAAGGATTCAAGTCTCCATCCCTGTACAGGCACATGGCGGGCAGAGAGCAGAGCGTGGTATCCTAGATGCTGCCTGTTCCTGTGATGCTGAAGACTCTCCTCCCTGTGCACTGCAGAGAAGACTCGAATTTCCAGGTGTGGACCAACATCCAGGGGACAGATGTTCTCGCTGTTCTGAAAGGAGCAGGTGCTGCAAAGCTCAGGGTAGAGCAGGTGTTTGAGGGATATCAGAGTTCAGGGCACAGTTGGAGCAGGGAGCATCCAACCACTTTCTGGCCTTATGGCTGCAGAGGGCAGCAGGGTCACAGGTGGAACCTTGGGCTTCCCTGGGGTTTAGAGTGAATGTCACTTTCCTTCTCTGCAGAGCTTTTCAGCAGAGGAAGATGCTCGCTGAACATTCCGAACCATGGAGATGTGTACCTGACACCTTTCAGGGTATGTACGGACCCTCCTGGGAAATCATGAGGGACTCCTTGGTGTACTTGGGATGGCTGTTCTCACACAGAAGCCACCCCAGGCTCCTGGAGTGGGCAGATGTAATGGATCCGTGGAGCTCTGAGGTTGTCCAGGGTCCTTATCATCAGTAATTGCACTTTTTGATTCAAGTTGAAGGTGATTAATTTTAGTTCCTTAATTATCAGAACTTTTGGCTGTTGCAGGGAGAGACCCCTGTTATAAGGCATCTCTTCTGGTAACACATGGGACCAGAGTTTTAGTCATTGCATATGAGAGGCTAAATGGTTGTGACATCAGTCTGGCTTTAATGAGGGGAGTGGGTAAGAAGATATAAGTTATTATAGCAGTGATCCTCCGTGTTCCAACTGTGAGCACTTCACACTCATTAAACACTTGCACACCACCAGCCTGTGGGGAAGCTTGACTGTGTCCCCAGCCTGGGCCCTTACCTTTGCCATCCAGTCCAGGAGAAACTTGTTCAACATTTTTTTGGTCTTGGGGCACTAATCTTCCGTGATGATGATGACATTTCTTAAAACATCAACTACTTATACTTAAAATGAATGTATACTGCATGGTTTTTCTTCAAAATCTATTTGTTCTTTTGTATATCTATGTCTCCATTTATCTTAAGATCATGTCCTTAGTCTGTCAAATAAGTTTAATATTTTCAAAAGAGTTAAAGCACGTAGTCCATATAGGAAAATCAATAGTGAAGCTAAATCATTTATTCTAGGAAGCCTCAAGCTTTTGAAACTCGTAGGGTTTCACAGTCCTTAATCATTAGCTAAATCTAATGAGACCTTCGGTGCATTGTTTTTCTATTTCTTAATGGTAAAATATGCACACTCTAGATACCTGAGAAATATGCCCTTTGAATATACATTTTAAACACAAGCATTTTTACTTATATGGAGTCACCCTGACTCAGCCTGAATGATATCATAGATCATAGTCGTCTTAAAAATAAAGAGGAGGATAGACCTCACTTTAGCTTCTCTACAGTACTGCCCATAACAACCAAAATCCGCAAAATGGTGAGGCTTCTGGAAAGAGACTCTTAAAAAGGATAAATAATTGAGGGTATAATCTGTCGATGAAATAGTAGGCAAATAGATCATTAAAACACAATAGGGAGTCCAGAAACATAGTTCAAACAATACAATGTAGAAAAGAAAATCTTCAATAAGGGGAGAGTAACTACTGGAAATTCACATACAGAAAAATGAAACGTTGTGCCCAGCTGGTGTGGCTCAGTGACTGAGCATTGACCTATGAACCAGGAGGTCATCATTTGTTTTCCAGGCAGGGCACATGCCTGGGTTTCAGGGTCATTCCCCAGTAGGGGACATGAATCATTGATGTTTCTATTTCTCCCTTTCCCTTCCTCTCTGAAATCAATAAAAAAAATATTTTTTTAAATTAAACTTTGTTATAGTATTAAAATTTTTGGAATCACTTCTGTTTATGTCACTTGTTTTATTTTTCTGAACTTCAGGTACAAATGGGTAAGTTAATGCTACTTTTGTTTATGATATATTATCATTTTCCATGAAATACACCTGATTATTGCTATTTTAGGAGAGAATTTAGAGTTTATAAATACTTTCTCTGTGTGTGTCTCACACACTTTTACGTGTACTATCATACATACATATACACATAAGCATACGTGTGTGCACGCTGAAATACAGGGATACTGCAGCTAATGAAGGTTAATACAGAATAGGATTTCAGCTACCACCTTATGAAAATATGAGATGGACCAAGTAGATTTCCAGCAATTCTGTATTATCTGGGCTTCTTTGACCTAGAGGACCGAGGCAGTACATGCCAGTGCCTCTATGACTCATGTATATCTTCCTGCCACTTTCTGCTGGCAGAGATTTAAAGGACTTGATTGGGATGGGATGGGTGCCATTGAATCCTCCAAATGGAATAAGTTGTTGAATGGATAACTCTATCAAAAAACACTTTCTTAGTTGCTTGGGTACTTGAGCAGGAGGAAATGAGGATCCAGAGGATTATGTGGAGGTTGGAGAATCCCTCCTAGTGCATAAGGCAGTACTGACACCTGAGAAATTCCACAGTGCTTACCTGCAGGTGGATACCAATGTCTGCATATGGTGTGAGTCAGGGATTACTATACTTGGAAATCAGGGAGGGAACTGAATAGCTGAATGCCATGGCCTAATTAGCATACAAAGCTCAGTACATTTGATATTCTTATCCGTAAGGTTTCTGAATTTCTTTGCTTTTTATTATCAACTCTACTCATAGTCTTCATTCTTGTGGCCCTAGGGGAGGAGGAGAGTCCTCTGCATTTCTTGAAGACTCTCTGCCTGTTGGTTACGCTGGGAGTAGGGAACACCCCCAGCTGAACACTGGAGTTTCATGACAGGAGGGTCTGGATATTGTGCATAAGATTGGAGTCACATGGCTTCTTTCTCTGTCCTCAGCTTTGCCTGTGTCCTTTTGTCTGTGAGTGAAAACCCAGAGAAAGATACCTGGCAACTGAGTCACTGACCATGCAGCCACTGGTGAGTAGGAATGCCTCCTTCTACTGAAATCACACTGCTGTTGACATCAGTGGGCAAATTTCTCCTACTTCATCACTGTCCTAAGCAATCAGGAGGTAGTCAGAGATCTGAGCTCCAGTGAAATTTCCCCAGGACTGAGATGGCTGTAATGGGTCAGGAACCTCCCGATGACTAACATTCTTCCTAACATCATACTGATTTATTCCTGCAGGTTGTACATGTGCAGAAGAGATGAGAGAAGCTTTCTCTAATTCAGTGCATGGCCTCACTGGGAAATAATGAACTCCTTAATCATGCTATTGACTACAGAGGTGGGTGGGTGTGGTGAATAGAGATGAATGAGGGGTTGAACTGGGGAGGCAGTGGTTTCATCAGGGAGGCCAGTCATTGAATGTTACAGGTGCTCGGTGAGCATGAGGAATCATTCATTTATTTTTTCCATGTTAAGTGGAAGGTCTTGCTAGAATATATTTTCACTTTTGAAAAATTCTTAAAAGACACCTAAAATTCTCATGATCATTCTTGTCCCAGTTACACATTTTGTCTTTCTGTAATTGACCTTTCCTTCATACTTGGTAGCTGGAATTCATGTCTATGGACTTTTATGCCTTACCTGCAGCTGTGCATGCAGGGCAGGGAGTAGAGCAGAATCAAATGTAGGACCCTGGAAAATCGTTGGAGAACTAGATAGACCTAAACCAATCCAGGGGCTCTTCTATCCATTAGCTGGAGACAAGATAAAGCTACAAAGGACACAGTGACAACTGCTGCTTGAGGCCCCAGATAAAGTCAAGGATGGGAGGCCTCATCCCACAGGGCAGTCAGGTTAGGACTGTCCTTCAGCACAGCCTCTCAGAGCCCTGGCTTGTGCTGCTGACCATTTGACCTGTTGTTTATTATGAACACTTGAGTCCTGTAGCAATAAGACAGACAGCACCTACTGGTACCAATGAGGGATGCCGGAGATTGCTTCAAGGATCCTGGACATTTTAGTGAGTTATAGACCAATGGCATGTGTTTAATACATGTTTACATAGAAAAGATTAGTTTGTGGAATCTTTCAACACTCACAACACATTATTAAACCCTTTCGTAGACAAGGAGTCTGAGGTTCACACAGGGGAATGATGTAACTATAGTCATGATTCAACAGTGGCAAATCATAGTTATCATTTGCCTTAATTAGAAGTCTGTAAAATTACTTGACATTAACCAGGAAGTGAGTTTTACTTACAACTTTTTAAGGGTCTGGAAGTAAAAATCAGTTCTGGAAAATTTCAAAGTTATATTACACCATGTTTCATATGATTTTCCTTTTTAACAAAGGCTTATTAGTTCAGACTATGAATATGTCTGTGATATATCTGAAAGGCAGATGCCAGCTCAGCACTGAGAACCCCAACTTCAGTTTGATCTTGCTATATACCCAGCTTCTCATCCCCCTTTCTTAGGTTGCCATCTCTACCCTCCTACTCTGGACATTGGCTGGGGTTACTCTATCGAAACCAGAATGTCCTTGATATTTCAGGAATCAGTGATATTTGAAGATGTAGCTGTTGACTTCACCCAGGAAGAGTGGGCCCTGCTGGACATACACCAGAGAAAGCTGTACAGAGATGTGATGCTAGAGAATATCAGTCACCTGGTTTCCCTGGGTGAGTGTGTCAACTTTTATGTTTGTTTGTATGTATGTATGTATGTATGTATGTAAATAGGTATTCATTCATTCATTCAACAATTATCTAGAATAGCTTCCACAGCCCACTCCTCTCTCTACCATGATTCTGTCATAGACATGAAAACTACATGGAATAAAAGTTGTCTCTTTTCATTTACTTACACCTAGTTTCTCACCCAACTAGAATGTAATCTTGATCCCAATTTAATGTCTTTCTTACTACTCAATATCTAACACTCAGAACAGAACTGGGAGCTCAATGAATATTTTTGAATGCTTAAATAAATTGATTAAATTTTCTAAATAATTATTCTGTTCTAGTCACTATGTTGAACTTAAGACCAGAGTAGTGAAAATGACAAACTTGATTATTCTTTTGAAACTTACATTTGAAAATAATATTCAAGTCACTTTGGAGACATGTAACTTCCCCATTTTTGAAAAGATGGAAGATTCTGCTTTCTGACTGAATGTGAGGGTGGACATCAGCACCCAGAGGTCTTACTACTGTGGACATGTGACTTGGATTTCTTACCTGTTTTCTTTGTTAAAGGTGTTGGTGCCTTTGATGACCTTGAGTGATCTTATTCTTCCTCAGTAGCCTGTCGTGGACTTGGATGAGAATGCATTTTTATTAGTACACTAGTGCCCAGTGCATGGATTTGTGCACATTGAAAGGAAATTAATTAGAAGGTGGCCAGCAGATCGGGACTGGGCGAGATGGGCCAGAGATGCCCTGGAACCTCCTGTGGTCCCTCCCCGGCCGGCCACACCTGGGGCAGCGCCACAGCTCACAGGGCATCTACAGAGTGAGCAGGGTCCCTCCAGCATGTGAGGTCCCTCAACCTGGCCTGTGGGGATCAGGCCAAAACTGGCTCTCCAACATCCCCCAGGGGGTCCCGGATTGCGAGAGGGCGGTTCTCAGGTGACACACCCCGGGATCGGGCTCTCTCCTCTCTGTTTTTGGGGTGTGTGACCTGAGAACCACCACTGCGAAGTCACTGCAGCGTGGCAGCTCCTGCATTGAGCATCCGCCCCCTAGTGGTCAGTGTGCATCATACCAGCCAGTCGGACAGTCAGAAGGTCACTTAGCCTTTTATATAGAGAGAGATATATCAAAATCCATATAACTTTCTTTCACAAACAGGGTATTGGATCTGCAAATCAGATGTGACTTTTCAGCTAGAGCAAGGAGAAGAGCTATGGAGTGAAGGGACTGGGTTTCTCCAAGGCCAGAGTGCAGGTGAGCAGCGGGGGTCAGGGCTTCAGTGTGAGGAGATGTCTGCTCAGTGACTGAGTAAGTCCTTAGACCAGTGATGGCAAACCTTTTGAGCTCGGCATGTCAGCATTTTGAAAAACCCTAACTTACCTCTGGTCCCCTGTCACATATAGAAATGTTTTGATATTTGCAACTATAGTAAAACAAAGATTTATATTTTTGATATTTATTTTATATATTTAAATGCCATTTAACAAAGAAAAATCAACCAAAAAAATGAGTTCACCTGTCAGAGGTGTCTGACACACGTGTCATAGGTTCACCACCACTGCCTAAGACTATCAAGTAAAGGCTTTGGGAAGTTTGAGTGACATTTTTCAAAATGTAGATGGACAATGAAGCAAAATTATTCAGATGCTGTCATTATTCCATTCATATATACATATATATATAATCAGTCACAATTCATGTGTCCTCCTGTCATTGGCTCGAGGGATAAGGATTTTCATATGCTATTGAAGTTAAGCTTTCACATAATAATCTTGTTCTGATCCTGCCCTTTGAAAGTTTCCCTCTCTTTTGCTACCCAACATCTATTTTATGTTTTTTGTACTTCAATCCTGAAAATCTTTACTAATTGTCAGTGCCTTTGGGTGTGTTTCTACTTCCTTAGAGTATTCCCCATCAGAATGCCAATTTTTGAGACATGCTCACATCTTCATTCCCCTAAAGCCATTCTAATTTTTTAAAAATTATTTTAGGCAGGGAAAGTGCCGTTCAAAATGAAGAAGTGATAGCCACACAACATATCAGTGGAAAGGACACATTTACAATCATGCAATTGGTAAGTTTCTTGAGTGTTCGCTCTGGTCATCCAAATTAAAACTTGGCAATTGGATGTTAGTACTTGAGTACAATAGTGTGATTTATGTCAATTTGGGATAAAGCTTTTTCTGAGCAAAAAACTTGGAGTAGTTTCAATGTAGAGAAGGAATTAACCTAAGCTCATAACTATAACCTGAGATATTAATAAAAAGGACAACTGCATAAATGTTGTTTGTATACCTAGTCTTTGAAACATATTGAAGTTTTCAAAATTGACCTATAAGCTCTGTAGTTGGGATGCTACAAAAGAGAAAATCTGTGTGGAGTGGAGTAACACACCATGCATATGTAGGCATCATTGGAAACATTTTAATTGGATACCATCACTGAAAGATTAGTTTAGTACTCATATGTAGAGAAGTAAATGTATGAACTTATGTGGGCAAATCAGTTAACAGCCTTTCATCTTTTTCCCCAAAGCAGAAATTTCACACTCAAGAGGATCCCTGTGAATATAATGATTTGGGAGATTTCACTCATAGCTCCACAGTGACTCAACATGTGTTAACTCATATGGAAAAGAAACCCTGTATCAGCAAACAATATCAAAAATCCTTTAGTGACCAGTCATATGTTAATCAACATAAGAAACTTTACACCAGACTTAAATCATATGAGTGCCATCTATGTGGGAAAACCTTCAGTAATTGCTCTAGCCTTAGAAGACATGAGATGACTCACACTGGAGAGAAACCGTACGAATGCCACATCTGTGGGAATGCCTTTATTCAGAGCTCTGACCTTAGAAAACATAGTCTCACTCATACCGGAGAGAAACCTTATGAATGTCATATATGTGGGAAAGCCTTCAGTCAGTCGTCTAACCTCAGACAGCACCAAAGGACACACACTGGAGAACAACCGTATGAGTGCTGTCAGTGTGGGAAAGCCTTCAGTAAATGTTCTGCCCTGAGACGACATGAGAGAACTCACACAGGAGAGAAACCTTATGGATGTCATCTGTGTGGGAAAGCCTTCAGTCAGTGTTCTGCCCTTAGACGACATGAAGGAACCCACAATGGAGATAAAATTTTGAATGCCTTCAGTAAATATCCTGACCTGAGATGACATGGTATTATAAGTAATGAATATAGAAGAAAACTCAATCATAGTTTTAACATTAAAAAACAGCAAGGACTCGCACATTAAGGAAACACTGTCTGTGATCAATGTGGAAGGTCCTGCAGTCATCCTTATTCATCTTCCATATGCAAATGTAGATGGAAGATAATCCAGTTGTATGGAATCTCTCTGGCAAAACCTTCAGCCACTCGTCTGACCATAGGTGACATGGGAGAACTCACACTGGAAGTATAAAGAATGCAGAAGTCTGTAGCAACAGCTCTCAGCTTCATACTAGAAAATTCACACAGGGGAGAACCCCTCAGTCTGCAGTCACTGGGAATGCTTTCATTTATAATTCATGGTAAACAATGTGAGCAAACCCCACTTGGGAGAACCCCTAGGTCTGTAATTGCTATGAACATTTATTCAGCCAAGCTCCAAGCATGGTGTGCACAAGAAAACTCAGTGATGAAATAACCACTAGACCAGTATTTAGGAGACTAAAACCTCTTGAGGAATACCAATAAGTTTTCCTTGGGAAATGATTCGGTGAAAAGTTATGGGAAGTCCTTTCGTTATTCAGAGAGGAATGCTGTGGCTCATATGAGAATTTGGAGAATAGAAAACACGTTCTGTGTCATGAAAGGACAGAGATCACTCCTTTATAGTCAGCACTACAGTCCTCATGTTTAGGGGACAGCAGTCCTATACTCAAAGTGGAGAAAGCTTCTGCTGGATTTCATACCTGAAAATTCAGTCTAGGGAAAAAAATAAACCCTCTAGGGGTTTATTTAACATACTACTTAGCACATGATTCATAATTTTGAGGGGGGAAAAAACTATTCCTGGGGAAAATATGTCATATAAATGCAAGATAGGGTAAACTGAGACTATTAAATGCAAAATTTTGTAAGAAATTAGATTAAACTTTTTCAATAGATTATTGCTATTAAACAATAAACTGTTGCTGAAAAATCTATGTTGATAAAATCCTGGTTTTCTTTTTTCACACAGTTGTAAATGCAGATGTGGGAGTCTGCACACCTGGGCATGTGGGTTAGAGGTTCAGCCTGTCTCTCTGAGTATTCCTTTCTCCCACGGCTGCTTTCATACAGCTCACCATCTTCTGTCTTCATCTGTGTCCTAGTGGTCACAGCAGGGACCTTTGACAGGTTTCTCTGTGCGCTGTGAGCCGGGCCCAGCAGGGCATGGGACAGTGTCATAACTAGTATAAACAGTAACATAGGCTCCAGCCCTGCCCCTGCCCCTGCCCCTGAGCAGCTCTGCCCTTCCTTGTATAATCCCTTCTTCTCAGTCAACATTGTGTCCTCCCTATGAGGCACTAACCGCCTTTAGGGCCTCACCCTCCAAAGGTGTCCCTCTCTTGTGGTCTTTCATTAGCCTCAGGGTTCCTCCCTGGACATCTAAGTCTCTTCCCTTTCTACCCCCACCCCAGGAGCAGTCCTTGATCTTTATAACTTCAGAATAGTTCCAGAATCCTACCTCTGCCCCCACCATGCTCTGAGAATGAGAGCTCTGCATGGGTTCTAGAAAAAGGATCCCAAAGGTTCCTTTGAGGGATGAATTTACTCATAGGTATGCTGTGTCTCAACATTGGTTAATTCATATAAGAAAGAAACCTACATCAGCCAGTGAAGAGCTATGCCTTAGAGACACATTGAGGAAAATTATGTGAATGTTCCTAGAAAGCCTTTAGTAATGCCTTCATCCTCAGATGACACAAGATCACACTGGAGAGAAATTTAAATGTCTTCTATGTGGGAAAGGCTTTTTGCAAAGATCTGAACTTAGAAATACAATCTAATGCAGTGTTGGGAAACCTTATGAAGGTATGAGTGTGGGGAAGCCTTCAGTCAAATTCTTACTTGAGACAACATGAAAGAATTCACACAGGAGAGAAACTTTATGAATGTGGTGAGTGTGAGAACCCCCTCAATCCACATGCTAATCAAAAGACACCAGAGAACCCACACTGGAGAACAGCATATGCACATCAGCTATGCGGGAAATCCTTCAGCAGTCATTGTCCTTCCCTTAGAAAACATGAGTGCATTCAATACAGGAGAGGACTCATGAAAGCCTCCAGTAGATAGTCTGACCTGCACTGCCATGACATGTCATTGCACATGTAATAAATACAGGAGAGACATCAATCACAGCTTTATCATTTAAACACACCTGCACACTCATACATGAAAGAAACACTCAGCAATGTGGGAGATCCATTTATCTTCATGCTCCTTGGCCCAGAAAAGCCTTTATTACGTGAGTGCATCCATATGTATGGTATCTTTGTGCGAGCCTTTAATCATTGGCCTGATCTCAGGTAACATGACAACTCACATTGTAAAAATGCTAATTTACATGTCCTCAGCAACAGCTCTGAACTTTGAAGATGGTTGCCATATTCTTCAGAGGATAATACATAAGGCTGCATTTATAATTATTGGTAAAAGGAACAAATTTCACAAGAAATAAACACTAGGGCTGTGGTCACTATTGGCAAACATTCAGCCAACTACCAGGCTTGTGTGCACATTATACACAGGGAGGACACAACACTAAAACAGGAAATCAGAACATTACCCCTCTTGAGGAAATCCAAACATTTCTTTACAAATCATTCACTCTAGTGAAGTTATTCAAGGCAAAATCACAAGAAACCTTTTCTTCATAAAGCAACACTAGTGGTAAATGTGAGGATTCATACTGTACAAACCACTGTGTCAGAAGGATAAGGCATTCGTTGATCACTTATTTCTTAGTCAAACTTAAGTTTCACAAACCAAGGAGATAGGAATCCTAAAACCAAAGCAGAAATAGCTTAGATTTCATCTCAGAAGCCATGATCCTCTGTGTGTGTGTCTGCGTGGGTCAACATTTCTAAACGAGTTTTTCAACACATAACTCAGCAAATAATGAGTCTTTCAGGAGATAAAGTTGTTTACAAATGTAAGGCATTAAATGCAGGAGGGAAAAGTGATCAGGAAGCATTGAGGGTAGAATTTTGTAAGAAATTCATCTTAAAATGTAGCAATGCTTGCAGATACTTCAACAATAAAATCTGTGGCTGAAAAAGCTAAATGTTGGTGTTCTAGTTTTCCTCATGCCGTTTTCAACACATGCATTCAGATCTGTACCCCTTGCCTGGCAGGGAGAGAACCAGACCTCAGGTTCACACAGCTCTTTCTCCAATGGCTACTTCGACACATCTCAGTTCCTTCATTTATCTTCCATCCAACACCATCTGTCTCATTCCAAGCCATGGTGCTGACACAAGTATGGTCTTCAGCCCCACATGCTAGATGTCTCTGAGTGGGATGACCCTGCTCAGGCAAGGTTATGGGGGCATATCAAAGGCATCCCACCTAAAAACCTTGGTTTTACCTCATCCTAGGTTTCCAACATGAGGACAGGAGACAGTATTCTGCCCACAGAAACCTAGAAAGCTCTTTGATTTTTGCTCTCAAAGTTCTGAATTAAGATACACTGAGGTAATTGGAGGGTGCGGGGTGGACCGCAAAGTCTCTGAGCATACCCTATATCAGTGATGGCAAACCCATGACACGTGTGTCAGAGGTGACACGTGAACTCATTTTTTGGTTGATTTTTCTTTGTTAAATGGCATTTAAATATATAAAATAAATATCAAAAATATAAATCTTTGTTTTACTATGGTTGCAAATATCAAAAAATTTCCATATGTGACATGGCACCAGACTTAAGTTAGGCTTATTCAAAATGCTGACACGCTGAGCTCAAAAGGTTCGCCATCACTGGTCTATATCTTAGTTAAATCAGTATTTTTGCATCATGCAATAATTTCAATGTGGGCCTTAGCTGTTTCTTCCCCAACCCAAGGATCAGCCCAGAAAATAAAGCTGTAGTAAGATAATTTCCCTAATCCTATTAGCCAGTCCTTAAGCTGCTTTGTAAATAATTAAGAAAATATGCTTGCCCCAAGCAAAATGAAAGGATTTCACCACTTTGTTCCTAGAGATGAAAATGTTCTCCTTCAACAGACACCCTTATTGAACCCAAACATCAAGGTGCTGACCTATGCTCTTCCCAACAAGCACAGTCCAAACCACGGGCCTCATTGAGACCCAGTAAATGAGTACATTCTGAGGTTGAAATGAACATGTACTTCTTTTTCTAAAATCTCTCCTCAGGTGATTTCACTGTAGAGGCAGGGTGGGAAAGTGTTAACCACATCAGAGGAAGATGAGGAACTAAGTCTATGGTTCACCTAGGACCGTGGTTGGCAAACTGCGGCTTGGGAGCCACATGCGGCTCTTTGGCCCCTTGAGTGTGGCTCTTCCACAAAATACCACTATGGGCGCACACATACAGTGCGATTGAAACTTCGTGGCCCAGAACGGAGGACCACTAGAGAAAAACCATATGAATGTGCTCAGTGTGGGGACGCCTTTAGTCAGCATGCTAATCTCATAAGACACCAGAGAACCCACACTGGAGAACAGCACATCAGCTCTGTGGGGAGTCCTCCAAGTCATTGTTCTTCCCTTAGAGGACTCTTCTCATGACTTTGCCCTTTCTGTTTATGAAATTCTATATTCAATTTCTGGTTTTCAGTTTTTGTTTGCTATTAATAAAATTCTGGCCGAAACCGGTTTGGCTCAGTGGATAGAGCGTCGGCCTGCAGACTGAAAGGTCCCAGGTTCGATTCCGGTCAAGGGCATGTACCTGGGTTGTGGACATATCCCCAGAAGGGGATGTGCAGGAGGCAGCTGATCGATCTTTCTAACTCTCTATCTCTCTCTCCCTTCCTCTCTGTAAAAATCAATAAAATATATTTAAAAAAAATAAAATAAAATTCTGCAAAATATGTCACATTGTGATTTCTTTTTATCCCAGTAATATATTTCAGGTCAGCTCTTTATTGGTATCTCATATTTCTCCATCTTTCCTTTTATCTTTATGTCTGCAGGTCCCACAGAAAACTCCAGCCCCAGGTGGGTAGTCCGATGGTCTGCTTGAGTCCCAAGACAGGGACTGTTCCCTGTACATAGAATGCACACAGAAAGACCTATCAGTGGATAAAGGAGTAGATGGAGCTGTCTAACATACTTTCACAGGGTCCTTTTTCACATCATTATAGGATAATTGTAGCTGGGTATTAGTCTGGAAAATCCAATCACATTGAACAGGGTGTGACCAACAGACTCTAATCCAGTTTAAGCTCATTGGTATTTCCTGGATCAGGGTGTGTCCTAAGAACATCACACTAACTGGATTTACTGTCTTCCCAGGATAAAAGGGAGTTGAATAGTAAAAGGGTCCATTTGCCACTAGACGAGGGAACTGAAGGTTTTGGGACGTTGGAAGAAGAGGATTGGCTGCTTTGTGGAACTGGCCTCAGCATCCATTTGGCTCCACCATCTCCTCCAGTTTTCCATCTGGTGAGTTCTCCAAACACTACGATGTGAGCTGGCCACAGTCCCTTAACATTATATGTCATATCACAGCAGCTTCTGGTGATCTCCAAGTTTTATTGGGTCAATATTCATTCACCCCCACATTTCCAATATTTGACTGTTTGTGCTTCTTTTTCATCTTTGTGTTGAATCTATTTGCAATTTTGAATGCTTACCCCAAGATCCTAGATCTTGCTGCCCAGCATAGTACTTGCCAGCTGCATGGGAGTGTAAGATTTAAATTAATGAAATGAAATAGCTAAACTTCAGACCCCCGATAGCACTGGCCAAAGGCCCAGTGTTCTAAATCAAGAAAGCCTGGCAGTGACAGTCTGCCACATGCTGTAGGGCAGCAGTCGCCAACCTTTCAGACCTCACAGACCACCAGGGTCCGAGGACTACCAGTTGGCAACCTCTGCTAGAGGGCATTTCCTTCCCTCAGAAAGCACTATTGGCACTTTGATCTATATCTTATGTTTTTGTTCTTTTTATGGTTGTACAAGCTTCATTTTCTGC